TGATTTAATTTATTGATGTCCGACTCCCGTGTTCTTTACAATTAAATATTACTTACGAGGACCACGTCCCATCCAGTACGGACTAGGTAATTGCTGAAAATTTATTCTTTTAAGAAGAACCCACGATGCTTTTCTTCACAACTTAAAGTTCTATCTGCCGAACTAATAAAATGACTAACTGACTTTACATGTGCTCGCGATGATGGCTATCTTCCGAAATGCTCGCAGCAGCAACCAAATATCTTATGCACTCGCAACGGCGACCAAATGTCTTATGCACTCGCAACGGCGACCAAATGTCTTATGCACTCGCAACGCCGACCAATGTCTTCTGACAAAATCTCACTGTGTTACAAATTGTCACTTTCGTTTCCGTTTGTGTACCAAATTATTAGTATTACTCGCGCAACTTTTCTTGAACGATGACCTTGATCCCCCTCCCTTGTGCAAAAAAAAAGTTGAAGGCAAAAGCTCAACAGCGGCACTGATTGACAACCTTCAAAGCATTAAAACGTCGTTGACGCGAAAACAGAGCTAGTCAAAGCCAGTTGCTTTCATAGTGCAAGAACCCCTGTTCAGGTTTATTGTCAATATCGAAAGAAATGGCTGTCAGGTCCAGGCCTTCAAGGGAGTCACCTAAAACTCCCGAAAAAGTTAAGCACAAGATGCAATTTTGACTTTCATTTCACACACGTGCATTACTTAAAATACTCTAGTGGCCGACTTTGTAACTATACCCCCACTCCACCCGAAATCGTCAATCCATCGTTCAAGAAAAGTTGCCCGAGTATTAATTTTGCTGTGACTCCCCGACCGTCATCTATCGTGAGTCACCGCCTTCTCATTTACTAAAATATCGCCATTGGCTGTCTATCTTCCTTGTATTTCGTTAAGAGATGCTTCTAAAATAAAAATTAATATTCTATAAATGACTACGTCTGAAATGTCCATCTCCAATGTCCCATATTTGTTTATTTCGGCTTTGAACATTTCTAAGTTCTATTTACTTCACAATATTTGCATTTAATACTTCCATGACCAATATGGCTACGCTCTGTCCTTTTTGTAAATGTAGCATACTACTGTTTTAGTTTCGCTCCTGGATTCGAATACTTCGAAGTAAGTTAAAATTCCATACTATTTACCTCAGTAATGTCTTTGAGATACCTGCGTATGTCTCAATATGTATCAAAGGACGATATAAAAAGTAGTGCTGCTCGTATTTTCATTGAACTGTGTATTTTTGAAAATTCAAAAAACTTAACGGTAATGAAAATATTTTTTTTTTGTCTTAAATGAGAACTTCTTTAAAGAAAACAATTAGAACTTAAAAGAAGTTCATGTACAATTTTTTGAGAAATCTAGTAGTTTTCGCGTAATTTCTGCAAGAAGTTAATGCTATTTAATATTATAACTAGTGGTGCTACAGAATGGTACGGACTTTCTCGTATTAGTTTTCTATTTCCTTTGGTCTCGGACTACACAGACTTGCCACATACTCCCGCCAGCTGCCATTTATTGCAGCCCAAAGTGCATTTTTTAAATCTTTTTTTTATTTTTCGTTTTCCTAAAAGTAGAAAAACTTTTTTTTTCTAAAATATTAAAGATCAGTTTAACCTCGCCCTAAATCGCAATTTTGTAAGAAAAATTTGGAGCCGTGTTTAAAATAACTGACGTTAAGGCGTTACTGTAATTTTCAAAATTTGAAGCACATCAACTCACAAATCCTATAGTGTTTACAAATTGCTGAAAATGTAATAACGACGTGAGAGATCTTTCAAAGAAATTTCATTTGTGTAACATTTGAAGAAAAAAAATACTACGAAATGAACTTCATTTCATATTTGAGAGTGCAATTGGCACTATCCGTTCGAAAAGTTTGAAGAAAAAATTGGAACCATTTTGTAGAAAATGGCGTTTGAACATTTCCGAAAATGCGGAATTTTGTAGTTGTAAGAAGTGGAAGTCAGATTTTCACGGTTAACTCTGAATTTGGGGAAATTGCAATAGTGAATTTTTTCTGTGTCTTCCTACAACTACAAAACTGAAGATAGAGATTTTTTTTCAAATAAAATGTTTTCTCCATAGTCATTTCTTTCATTAATGTCAAGGATATTTTTTAAAAATTTTAGTAGTTTTCGCGCAATATTGCGTGCAAAATGTGCAATTTTAAAAATGAACAAAAACAAGATTTTCTCTAAACGACCCCAAATTTTTTCTTTAAACTTTTGGTAGAAAAATGTACTCTGAGATGACATAAACATCGGTTTGCTCTATTCTTTTGTTTGTTTGTTTTTCAAAATTAACTTTTTTTGACTTGACTCTCACGCCGTTAATATACACATTAGCGCCAATTTGTTCACATTATTGTATTTACAAGTACATGTGCTTTAAAAATGCCTATAAAGTTTCTCGAAAAACTCAACTTTAAAACTAGCTCAAAATTCGGCATTTTCAGTAACGCTCAAACGCTGTATTCTCAAAAATTGCTCAACATTTTTTCTTAAAACTTTTCGTACAGATAGTGCTAATTGCATTGTTTAAGATGACATAATAGCTATTTTGCTGTATTCTTTTGTTTTTCAAAAATTACACAAATGTACATTTTTTAAGATCTCTCACGCGTTAATATGCACATTTCTAGTTATTTGAAAACACTGTTATATTTGTGAGTTAATGTGCTTCAAATGACTTCAAATGAAGGTTTTCAAAAACTCATAAATGTTCTGTTAAAAAATTGCTTCAAATTTCGAAGTTACAGTAGGTCTAAATGTCATTTTCTTAATGAAATCTCCAAATTTTCCAAAGAAAATTGCCAATTAGGTCAAAGTTTTACTGTTCTTTAATATTCTTTAAATAATAATTTTCGTTCTACTTGTACAAAAACCGAAAAAGTAGGAAAATGTCAAAAAAATGTACTATTTTGCAAATTTTTGAAATTGGAATTTTGAATTTCCTGTACGTCTTTTACTTGAATTTTGCAGAAATTATCATGTTCCAATACAATGATGGGAATAGCGTGACAAGTTTGAAATTCTCAGAATAACTTCTCTTTGTTTGGTGATGTTCTTGGGTGAATGGGGCAGTTTTGGATTGTCCAATGTATTGATGTTTTAACTTAAAATGAATTAAATTTTTGCACCTAATGCATTGTGATTGGTAATTAGTTTTACAATTGATTGTTGAGACATTTCAATATGGACTTTTTCCCCTTCAATTTTCAATTTATTCAGGTTGTAAATACTGCAGGAAGCAGTGCATGTGCGCAGACCTGAAGAATCTTTCATTATATAACTTTATCACTCGTTTGGTAAACAAATTTTTCACACTCAGTATAAACATAAAAAAATAAATGAAAAAGAAAGGGAGGAAAGTAATAAAATAAAATGTAAGTCAAAACAAAAAAGACTATTGATGAATAGAAAATATAGTAATATTTTGTTAGAAAAAAGCCACTGAACCATATTATTATCCAAATTTATCAGAAAGTCCTCAATTTGTTATTTATTAACTGATTTAAATTTGATGTTTTAAATATATCGATTAACACATTCAATTCTTTAATTCCCACTTCATTGTTTCTCCTCTGAAATAATTACTAGTTGAATATGGGAGGTTAAGACCTTAGATATTCACTAGGTATTCGTGATACATAAATATTGAGCCTGAAGCCATACATAATTATAAAACAATTTTTCAATAAAATATCATTTTATATCTGTCATATTTTCTCTGGGTACGAACATCTTGTAGTATATGCTTTCATAAATAATTCTGCTAATCTTTTTTTTTGTATTTTACTTAGCACTACTGATGGCAAATCGTAAACTTCAACTCCAGCTAATTTACCATACATTCCAACTGCCCATAATAATAATAATAATCATCATCATCATCATCATCATCATCATCATCATCATCATCATTCCTGTATACCATCAGTAGTTATTTAGTTTCTAGAATTGATCTTGGTTTACTGAAAATATAAATAAGATATCTTCTCATCTGTATCAGTTGCAGCACATGGTAGTTCTATTTCAAATTGTGATCACAGTTTACTCCTAAATATTTAAAATCTTCAACTTTCAGTATATTTGGATAATCAAAATTTAAATTTTCACAACTTTATTTGTGAAACTACATGAAACATCCCTTGTATACTGTCCAGATAACTACCAAAATTTTGTAAATGCAGTCTTTCCGAAAGTTAAGCGCAGAAAATTACAACTTAGCCCTTTCTCTAACACAGATAATTTAGCTTTTCATTTATCACATCTTCCCTTGATTCACACTTAATAATAATTCTTGTGTTGTCAGCAAAAGATATCAAATCAACTTTAGGCAAAATGTTTAAAATGTCATTTGTATATTATAAAAATAAAAGTGATCCCAGAATTACAATTTTGAGGTCACTTTTATTTATACAAGTATGCCTTGAGGCACACATTTCTGTCAATTTGTCACTATCCTAGCCATTTATACTCACTTACTGCAATATATTTGATAAATAGCTTCGGATTAATTTTTAAATAATTCCTCTGAACCCATAAGATGACAGCTTTTTTTAAAAATAAGATATCATGATTTATTGTGTCAAAGCTTTTGCGCTGTTATAATTTTACATAATCGTTACTGATGCCAGAAAGTACATGATTTAGCATCACTAAAGATACTTTAAAGGATTCAGTTAGTTAACATTTATCTAATTAATAAGAGGTACTTGAGTTTTGCTTTTATATATTTTCTTTAAACAAGGTGAAATATTCTACAAATATTGCGGAAAAACACTTTGAAAACTGGAAAAAGTTTGGGGAATGCGTTTGAGGAGAAGAGGCCATCATGATGTAATAAGTGTTCCACCCCCACCTAATTTTTCTACCCCTTTTCTCTTTTTCCCGTATCATTTTTGTTTTAAAAGAAAATTTTAATTCAGTGAAAACTAAATACTTAAAATAATTAAAACAAGGCTTTGTTCTAATGAATGTGTTTCTTTGTTTCAGACTCCCGAAGTACTGGCACAGTATTTGCCTCAAGTGGAAGCCCTCGGAAACGTCGTGGAAGTGTTGGAGAGGCATCTCGACAAGGCCACTTGCTACGGAGTGCTAGTGAAAACAACCTTAGTGGTGGTCGAATTTCAAGTCATAAAAGACGTGCTCACCCGCCACCACCTTCACCTGCTGGGTTACTACCAACCAGTAAGTTTGTATTAACATTCTCTTGTTTATTTTGTCTGTGTTAACTGTTTCAGAATATATAAAGTACCTTCTCATCTTAACAGTCATTGTGTTGTAAACATAGTGAAAGAAAAGTGTGGCAAAATGTATTGGATCGCCTACCTGATGCATCTTGGCAATTGGAGGAAATGTTTAACTCTTATGTTGTAGATAAGTGTGGTATGTTAGAAAGCATTTTTTGACAAATAAATAAATAATTTCTTATGAAATTGAATTTACTCGAAATAAATTTTAAATAAAGTTTGCCTGGGCCCGGTTTACGGCCACGCAGATGTGTACTGCGATCGGGCGCATCTGCAGGTTGCAAATAGTGGATACGACCTTCAGATAAGAGGGTTTGCTGCAAAATAAGCAGGCTTTGCCTTGACGTCACGTTGACAGCCGGTTGTAAAACCAAAGTCAAATCATAATATGGATCGTACTATAATAATGGTAGAGAAAAATGCTAGGGCATACCTCATAAGCGACGCGCGGACCGATCGCCTTAAGGCCACAGAAAGCGAGCAAGGGCTACTCTTTAACACTGGATGGAAGGGGTTAAAGAAGAGAGTTCAGAAACAGCACAAGATTAGAGTAGCAAAGTGGAACGTCGGTTCACTTTCAGTAAGGAGCTATGAGTTATCAGAAACGCATGAAGAAGAGCACGCATCAAGAGACGGGAAGAAGAGCACGGGATCAAGATCAAAGAAAGTAGGAAATTGATATAAGCCCATCTACAAGAGAGCCAGCAATAGGGAAACTGGAGTAGGAATCATATTGGTTAAACGTTTCAAGGTAAAATCGGTGGACGTGAAGAAGTGTAAGACAGGTTGATGGTCAAGCTAGTACTGGGAGAAAAAGAAGCTTTGAATATAGCCAACGTCTATGCACCACAAATAGGATGCGATAAGATGCGAAACAAAGCAAGAATTTTGGTCGGAGTTAAATAACAATTTGCAGAATTGTCCGCCAGAAGAGCATATCTTAACAGCAGATCTCAATGGACATGTAATAAGGCAATAAGGCAAATTCAATTCAATTCAATGTAGGACGATCATGAGTGGGATTTGAATGAGTACATGAAGTACATGGATTTCAGGACAAATGAAGGTGAAACCATACAAGTAGCGGCAGCCTATTAACTCGCAGTCCTTAACACTTTCTTTAAAAAGAAGGAAGAATACCTTATTACTTAGAAAAGCTGCACTTCAAGGTCACACATTGACTAAGTTTTGTGCAGGAGAGAAAATCTACAGGATTCTAAGGACTGCAAAGTGATAACAGGTGAGAACCTGACAGAGCAACATCGTCTTGTAGTTGATTTCTGAATGAAGGAAAAGATAGGAAGACGACAAGAAAGTGGTGGACGGGGCAAGTACGTAACAAATCAGATCCAAAATAAGCACCACGCAGGTCCTCCAAATAAAGAAACAAGAAGTGCAAGTAGAAGAGTGGGTCAGAGTTTCAGGAACACTTAAGGAAAGTTTGTGGAGAAACAAAGGGAGAGGTTTCATTAATAAGGAAACGTGGAGGTGGAATGAAGATGTGAAAACAGTATTGAAAGAGAAAAAGCAATATAAAGCATTGCAGAAATCCCGTAATCAGCAAGCTCTGAATAACTACAAGGAAGCTTAAGAAGACCAAGAAAACATTGAGTACCGCAATAGCCAAGGCTTATAATAAACTGCACAAGTTAGAAACAACAGAGGGAGAAAATATTATTTACAAGCTTTTGAAGGTAAGAGAGAGGTCGAAGAAAGATGTTTCGCGTGTGCGCTGCATGAAGGGTGAAAACAAGTCCGGACTCTTAAGGAGAAAATAAAGAAGCAATGGAAGACGTATTTCCAGAAACTACTCAATGAAGAAAACCCCAGGGAAGCTTGTGAACATCTACTTTTAAACCATTCCTGTGGCAATGTAAGAGGTTGAAATTGCCATGGAAAAGATGTACTAGTGGTGATTCAGAATGGCATAGACTTTCCCGTATTAGTTTTCTATTTCCTTTGGTCTCGACTAGCTACTCGGACTTGCCACATACTCTTGCCAGCTGCCATCTATCGCTGCCCAAAGTGCATTTTCTACATTTTTTGTTTTCCTAATTGTAGAGCGAAAATATTATTTTTCGATTATTAATGAACAGTAAAACCTTGTCCTCAATTGCAATTTTCTTTAAAAATTTTGGAGCTGTTTTAAAAAACTGGCGTTCAAGCGTTACTATAAATTCGAAATTTGAAGCTTTTTCACAGAAACTTTTTGAGTTTTCGAAAAACTCCATTTGAAGTCATATTAAATTCTTTAACTCACAAATAAAAAGTGTTTACAAATTGCTGGAAATGTGCAAATCAACGGCGTGAGAGATCTTTCAAAAAATGTATTTGTGTAATTTTTGAAAAAAAAAAAAAATTACCGAAATGAACTTAACGTCATATTAAAGAGTGAAATTAGCACTATCCGTTCGGAATGTTTGAAGAAAATATTGGAGCCATTTTTGACGAAATGGCGTTTGAGCGAAACGCTCAAACTGAAAATGCGGAATTTTGAGACACTGTGTTTTACATAATTTAAAGCACATGTACTCACAAATATAATAATGTGAATAAATTGCCAACAATATAAATATTAACGACGTAGGAGACAAGTCAAAATATTTTTGTAATTTTTCAGAAATTAAAAGAATAGAGCAATATGATTTGGTATCTTATAGAGTGCATTTAGCACTATCCCTACCAAAAGTTTAAAGAAAAAATTGGAGCCGTTTTGAGAAAATATTGTTTTTGTGATATTTTTAAAAAATTGCATATATTACATTATTGCATGCAATAATGCGCGAAAATACTTAAATTTTCAAAAAAATGTACCTAACCTTAATGAAAGATCTTAACTATGGAGAACAAATTTTATTTGAAGGAATAAATTCTCTATCTTTAATTTTGTAGTTGTAAGAAGACACCGACTAAAAGGAATACTTTTGAATTTTTTGAAAATTCAGAGTTATCCGTGATAATCGGACCTATGCCTCTTTATCAGTGTATGCTACTATATTCTTACCAGAAATTAAAAGAAATAATTTCGCGCGGTTTTTGAGAAAATTGTGAAAATGTCTTCATGAAGGCCTTCAAAGAGGGCTTCATGTAAAGTACCCCCTAATTATGAATGTTTTCCAAACTCGAAGAGTTTCGACTCAGGCCAAATGGACAAACGTTCCTCCAATTTGACAAAATCCTACGCATGGTCACTAGTGTTGTTCAAATACACCGGACGGAAGGACGGACTGAAGTTTTGAAAGAAAAAAAACAACACTTTCGGTATCAGGGTCCCCGTGTATTTCCGATGGAATCTCGAAATCGATTTTCCTCAGCATTACATGACTTCCTGTATTACATGTGTTGTGTGTATGATGCGTTGTGTGTGTCGGGTTATATATATATATATTTATTATTATATATATATATATATAATAATCATAAATATGGCGTTATGGATTGTGGCAAACCCCATAAACACCACCGCTCATGTGTGAACACTACGGAGGGGCAGCGAGGATAAACAAACGCGTAAGGCAAAGGTACTTAAAACGCGCGGCCTGGTAATCCGTTTGCCCGTACTAAACGAATGGCGAAGTTGCAAGCAATGTTTTCCTTGTGAAGTTGAGAGAGGGGAAGCAGCCCTACCACTGAGAATTTCCCAGGCGCCGCGCGATAAATACGCGAACCCGCGAGCGGAAGCTCCCTTTTTCTTGTCACCACGGCGTCGAGTAAAGCAGCTCTTTTTAACCACCGATAGTCGAGTCAATCACATTTCGTTAAACATTAGTTTAGATGATTGTGCCGCTGCAACGACTACTAGGCAGGAGTATTCGGCCGTCGAACAGCGTTCTAGTAGTGCGTCCGCGAGATAGTGCAGATTAAGTAGTGTTTCTTCAATTAACAACACGGGAAGTAAACGTTGCCCGTTGTGAAGGAAACATTAAAAGTTCTGGGCTTAGCAAAGTAAAAAGTAGCAACGATCGAGGAACTGTGCACGAGTATTCAGTAAAGTGCAAGGGACTTTTTCGCAACGTGGGCGTAGTCAGAGGCGCCGGTAGCAGACGAGGAAGAAGAGGAGGCCGAGGACTTGGCGCGACACGAGGAAGGAAGACGGATCGCAAACGAAGAAGAATGGAGAGGACGCAAGGAAAGCAACGCAGACGGCAGAGGGCGAATCCGTCTCTTACGACGCAGAAGGCTGGGACCGAACGGCCAGCGCGAACCGATCGATCAGCGACCAGCGCAACGACCATCAAGCCACAAGTGGAAGTCCACGAGGTAACAGTTGAGCGCCGGAAAAATAGGTCAAGTTCACGTCGGCCAGGGAAAAAACTAGTATAGGAAAGTGAAGAATTTGAGGACACGGGTGCATCAAATGCTGCATGTATTAGAGTAAGGAGACAATTTGATTGCCCATTGCCTGCATAAACATTTCTACGGTAGGACATTTATTTTCTGGTATTTTCAGACACAGTTTAAAATTGTAAATGAGAGTAGTGCATTGCCACACATTTTCTTCTTTATATGTAATCATTTGAAAGTTAGAGATTGTAAATAGAATTTTTGTTTCATGTGCATATGTAATTGAATAACACACATTTAGATATAATTAATTTTCCAAGGGAGATTCCAGTGTAGTTTAGGGTAATTATTTCAGAGTGTATCAATTTGTGAAGTAAATTATGTGTTTATTCATATGAGCGTGTGTTGTAAAGGGTTTCTATCTGTTTGATTATTCTTTGTAAAAGTGTGAATTTTATTATTCTTTGTTTTTTGTCAATTTAAACTTTATCCACTAAACGTTAGGGCGTAAATTATACGCTCGTTTTATGTTTTTGCAATCTGTGTGATTTTATTGTTTTCAAGGGTGTGTGCAAACCTTTTCCTCGCCACCCTGAAGAGAATTCTGCTCCCTAAGATTTTTTAAGCTCGCTCACGAGCATAAAATTCTTGATAACCCCCGCTTACGGTTCATGCGAGCTGCTGTGAGGTTGTAAGTTGTGAGGGCGGTGGTGGCTTAGTAGAATATATTAAATATATATTTATATTTAATTATATATATATCATATATATATATTCATTATAGATATACATATATATATATATACGTTATATAAATAATATAATAGATATTAAATTATTCATATATATATACATAATACATGTAATATATATTCAAATCTTATATATACTATATTAATACATTATATATACTATATATACATACATACACACACGTGGATTCCCGCCGCCTTCCTGGAATTCTAACAAGACCTAGTCGCAGGTAGATTGATCAGGAGTGGCGGTAAATCTCCCGATCTGCCCATCTAGGGAGGTTCAAGGTCAAAGCAATGATGTGTGAAGGGACTGTCCCCAAAACCGAAAGATGTATCCCGTATGCATGGCAAACGATGTATGCAGAAGTTAGAAAGTATCACAAAGGAAGTAGTTAGGAAACAGACAGGGCTCCCTCAGTGGCCATTGACACACAGCGTCGCGACACGGACGCCATGCACGGCAAACGGCTGGGTGGGCGATCAGCATACAGAGAAGGCCAGTGAAAATAGAAGGCGGTTGAAGAACGAGACAGGATGTTATCCAAAGAACGAGGTAGATGAACCGTGATGGGTGATTAAAATGCTTAGCGAAAGAAAAGGAATTTTTGAGCCCCTCGCTGCTTTCCCCCCGGTCAGGACGTGGACCGACCCACCTCGGACGGCTATCCTGTTAGTTACGTCTTCCTCTAGTCCTTCCCAAAGTACTGAGTCTCTGCATTCTTGAATCTCATGTTCTCGTTACACACCTTCTTCTCCGTCCAGTATACTGTTGGGTTTTCCACCAGCAATTTAAGAGCCAAAATATTGGCCATGGTTATCGACCGTCCAGGCACGAAGCAACTAACTGGCTCTATTACTGTTTGTTGTCATTATCGGACCTCTATCCAAGTTCACTCTCTCCCAAGAGCTTCATTGAGGTTTTTTTACCCTGTAATTCCCGCATCTTTGCACATCTCGCTCTTAAAATAACAGGAACATCATACTTTTCCTCCATTCTCCCGGCATATTCCTTTCGTAATTCGTGGTAAAAAAGGAACAGGGTTAACCACTTCACCTCTGCTGTCTATGCACCATTGCCTCGATACGGTTGTTATGCCGGTCCCGCGGACTCACCAGTTTTTACTTTCAGTGCGTTTACGTATGTATGTTGTATATATGTGATGAACATCCCTGAGCCTTGATGGCGAGGTATTGACAGTGTTTATCGATGGTATGTGTGAATTCAATCGTGGTCGTAGTTCATTCCAAGGACGAATTTCGCGAAGGTCGTCCCAAAATCAGTTTTGTTCCGGAAACCATGAGCAGCGTGCGATGGTATGTGACGGTTTTTTAGAGTACCGGACTATTATACCCAAGCTCGCGCGTTTCCACCCCGAATCAACCGATGGATTTTTAGGGCGACCCCAAAAAAATCTTCGTACGCCTTCCTTCGGAGGGAAGTAAACGGCTTGGTCCCATGTTCGTAGATTTAACTTGCAAGATCTCAAGCCCAAATGACGCCCTCTGAGCGGCTAAATTCAGAAATCGATATTTCTCGCGCCCAAGAAAATTACCTCATTTCTCTACTAGTTGATGAAAGGGAGCAGCCGCCCCGTAGCGAATTTCCGCGTGTGGGCTCAGACGAAGAGCGGGGCTGATGGCCGAGTCTGGCGCCCGTAAAATAAGGCAAATTCAATTCGAATCAATGCTGTGCGTCGAATTGATATATTTCAAGGTCGTTCATTGTGACACATCGTGAGATTGATAAGCAATACGGACGTAACCTTAGGCAATTAGTTGACCAGCTAATTCAATATTGCATAACATTTGACAGTCACCCAAAATTTGTTCGCGTTGGATCCCACACAATTTGTCAATCGCTAAAACAAAAAAGGCTACGTGATCGATTGTCGAAAGAAATGCCTCAAAAAAAATACATTCGCGTTACTCGAACACGTCTATGACATCGAAGTGAATGATCGTGATTTACGCGTATGAGCCCGAAAGTAAACAGCAGTCGACTGTATGGGGGTTTCAAGATGAGCAAAATTCCAACAATAGTTGTCCGCGCATGAAGCACTTCCAAACAGATGGTCGCCGGTTTTATTTCTTCAGAAAACTGGTCATGTCGCACCTAGTACAGTAAAACTGCCAACAACTTTAAAGGAAATTAAATAATTGTCAGTAAAAAGTGATGTGGTAGGTATTCAATGCTAGAACAAGGAAGTTTTTCAACAAACTGCAATAGCACAGCACCACCAAGACCGTAATCAGATTTGTAAATGTTCTGCTTCCCTTTGGCCTCTTCATAAATTTCAAAATCAATCAAATATCCTAATCTGAATATCATGACCATAATGTAATTTTAAATCTTCTGCTGTTGTAGTGCAGTCAAGCACTGACTATCATCTTCTGAGTTGTTGCTGTCCTCTTCTTCCTCTTCACTTCACTCTTGGTTCGCTCTGGGTCTTTAATTTTCTTGGTGCTCAACAGGCATTATCTGCCCACGAATCTTTCTATCCAACACCTGGACCTGGGGAAGGCCTCATGGGGTATCAGCAACCCCACATGGATCTTCCTTGTGTGTTCTGTGAAATCCTTGGAATTTTAATAAAAAAATTGGTGCACTATTAAGGATAATGGGGTAGTAAACATAAGAAAGCATTTTAGTATCGCTATTGAATTTTGAACTGTTTTCCATTCTTTTATAAGTTCAATCAAATAGTGGAAATATAAGGAGTTAGTGTTCTATGCTGTAAATGTGATTCTATTTAAATCACATTTCAGACTCGTTTGAGTTTCTGTGTATTTCCCAAACCAGAAATGATTTGATGAAATAAATCCTACTTTTAATTTGGAAGTATAAGAAAATGCTTATTGGAAAGTAATTAATGAATTAATTAAATTTACAAATTTTACTCTCATGTAACTAACATTATTTTTGGTTTCAGCTTTACCAGACAGAGTGGAGCAGGAAGTGGCTCGACTTCTTGCCAGTCCTCCTGGTTCACATCATAGTTCAGCTTGGAGCCAAAGAAGTAGATTGCATCGAAAATCCCACTCAATGGATTCTCTCCAGGGAGCAAGAGGTGCAAATTAGTTTTTCTGCTATGTTCAAAACATTAAATATTTAAGTCGTGATCTAATTTTTAAATTAATTTAAAAACAAAGATTTGCGAATTGTTATTTTGATTAGAATTTAATTTTAATATGATTTAGAAGTTTAAGAACTTTGCGATATATAGTCGAAAGGTAGGTGGCAGTATAAAATTTGTGACTTGCAGCAATTGACAAAAAGCTGTTTACGTATCAATAACCATTTGTCTAAATTTTTTCATTATATGCACACATTTTCAAAAAAATTAGAAGTTAAAGCATAAAGTATAAAGTGTATTGAACTGATTCTCACCCAAAGCTTTATTTGTTTGGCCTTTAATTCTAAAATCTCCCACTATTCGTAGCTACTACACAAACACTGCAGATTCTTCTTGAAATATACTGTTAATTTCGTTCCATTAGCTATCTTCAACCCAGATAAAAGAATTAGGAAATTTTCTTTTAGCATATTTCATGATCTGTTTCATATGGAAAACAGCTTGCATAACTATATCAGCTGATGCTAATTATATTGAAAAATTCAGGAAAGAAATTATTTGAAAGAATTCACTACTTTCTTTCCAAACAACTTTTCACCATTTACAGCTCTTATTTCCACAAACAAACATAGTTAACATAAACCCATTACAAAAACAACAACAAATGATACCCTTAAAATACTGGGAATGGGGAAAAAAATTAACTCAAGGATGTGCACCTTTTGTTATTGTTTTGCTGTGTTAAAAACAAAAGTTTTTCTTCTTCAAAAATCTTGAAATTCATTTTAAAGGGAAATTTAAAGTTAGTCCTACTAATAATCATGTATGACTCTCTTGTCTAAATCTTGTTCCATACCTTCCATCATCTATCATGCTGTTTACATGAATTCTTTCTACTAATGTTTTCCCTTTTGAACATTATATTATTAATATACAATTAATAAGTCTAGAAAATACTTCCTTGATTGCTTAGCCATTCTATCAACATTTAACACTAACTTTTACAATAAAATGTTAAACTTCTCATGAAATGTATAACTCAAACCTGAAATGTCACCCAACATGTGTGTCTGTTGTTATATGTCTTTTATTTCCCCAAATGAACAACAAAAATTAAAAATAATGAAAATTATGATGGTTGGGTTAAGAGAAATGAATTGGAAAGTAATGTTTGGAATTCTTGATTTGGTTATTTGTTGATATGTTTCTAGCAAGCTATAAAGTGAATTGTAGTTATCAATTGGCATGGAATATTTCAATTTTTTTTTCAGCTTATGTTCTGGAACATATTCCATATTATGTAGTATAATTGCAGATAGTGATTAATGTTTTCTTAATTCCGGACTTGCACGAGTCTTAATGATGTTCATGTTCATTTCTTGATGGAATGGATGGAAATAAAAAGCATGTAGGAATACAAATTTAAATGTCCTGATATTAAAAAACAAGGAACTCTCAAATTTCTACATTTATAATATTTACTCTTTTCATAATTGAATTGTTTGCAGCAGGTTCACCTTCACAGTATTCTGGAAGTGAAGGTCCTACTCGCTCTCCTTCTCCAGCACCATCCAGTGGTGTAGAGAGTAATTCAATAAAAGACTCACCAATGCAAATAGATGTTATCAGTGGTGATGGCACAAGCTTAGGTAAGATGACGAAATTTCTTGGAAAGCGTGAACTTTCATTTGAAAGTTATCAATTTTTCATTTATTTAACTTATTATTATTGGGTTTTTTGATACTGGTTTAAAAAGTTGCATGCTGTTTTTAATCTACAATAATAATGTCACATTAAATATAATACAATAAATATGTCACATTAAAAAAATATTGATTAATATTTGTTGTACAGTAAAATCTATCGAATCTGGAAACTTGCCTTAATTGGAAAATTTTTCCTGAAGGTGAAGTTAAACAGCATTTTAAACAGTTTAGAATAGAATCTATCCAACAAAAAAGGAACAGTTTTTCATGCTCTGCTAGATCAAAACTTTTTGTAAAGGAATTGTTGTGAAAGTAGTACAGTTGGCAAAATTGCTATTGTGAAACATATTCTTAGTGGACTGTATCTCTCTTTATTAGTTTTAAGTTCTCTGTCCCTCTGACGTGCGTTTTTGTCATTGCTGAGGATGAGTTGGACTACATAAAAACTATCTTAAGGAGGATGTTTGGGCCATAGTACTGGGGAACTGCCCCTCTTCAGGCTCTTTGAGCTTGGGACGGTCTCTGAACATGGCGTTTTGCCTTTTTACCCACCTCCCTGCACTGCTGTGAGGAACATAACCATTAAGCCAGAGATGCATTACTGCAAGGCCATGCAAGATTATCAGAAAATCACAGTGAACTGACACTGGTGTGGCGTAAACAGTAAGGAGTCATGTTTGGTGTGCAATTTTATGTAGTAGTTTATCAGTGACTGGAAAGAAGCACAAATGTCTAACTGGATTAAAAAAGTCAAGCTTATAGAAGTAAGTAAGACTCAATGGCTATCTTTGAAAGCTCTTAAAAAGTTCTCCAAATGCGGAAAAACATAAGTTTATGACACGCTCGAAAAGAAAGGTTGAAATAAATAACTGGTTGGAAGGTATTGTTAGGATGTATAGTTACTTACTTTATTTAATGCTTTTTAGATTTATTCTATATATTTGTTTCTATGTGTTCATGCAACTAGTTAAGTTATGCAATTTCTATGTTTCTGTATGGAATATCAATAATCACAAAAAATGTCAGCAATAGTTAACATCACATAAAACAGAATCCTCTCTAAAATAGAAATTCTCTTAGTCCTGAGTGATTCTGGTAAAGACAGATTTTACTGTATAATTTTTTCTATATACATTTGTAATCAGTGTCGTAATCAGTCACATCTTTTGTAATCAGTGTCTTATGAGAATTGTGGATGAATTTTTAAATTTTATTTTCTTTACCATCCCTTTTTGGAAAATATTTTATTTAAAATATCTAATAAAGAGGAGTACATTACTCTATTAGATTGAATTTAATTTTGAATGCATTATTTTTCTTTAACTACTTTTGAATCCCTTGAGAATAAGATTGCTTTTCTAACATATGTGTAGTGTCAAAAGGCCAAATTTTTTATTTCATGAGACTCTTAAAATTTTCTTTTCATAACCCCATTTGATACCAGAAAAAATGTAAGTTAATATTCTTTGAACGTTCCAAATGAGATATTTTTAGAATGGATCGTGAATATTTTTTGAAGTGGTTTCAAAAGTTCTAATTTTTTATTAAAATGTACTGAAATACTTTCATGTATTCCTGATTTGAGTGATAAAAATGTGAAGATATTTGAAGTGTGCTTTTTTAAAATTTTCTTGTAAATGTTTCAAGAATTGATAGATGGAAATTTGGAAAGGCGGTCAGTGATGGCTGGTGGCACAGTACGAGGCTGGCTCCCTGATGTGGCTGTGGTGCTATGGAGACGTATGTTAGGGGCACTTGGTGACATTAATGAAATCTCCAGTCCAGCATTGCATAGTCAAGTGTTTGAATACCTTGTGGAACTGTGTGACACGCTAACAAAGGTAAAATACTTTCTGCTATTTATAACTACAGTAGAACTTCAATCATCCAAACTTCAACTATAAATTTGCTTTGAGGAAAAATAATATTTTCCAATTAAAATTACTTTATTAAAACCATAAGTTGCTTTGTTCGACGATTATTAGGACAGGTGATTTTTCTTTATTGTTCTAAAGTCAATACACAGAGAATGTGTTAGAAGAGAAAATCTTATTGCAAACAATGATTACAATTATTGTTTTGTTGTTCACACAATTTGGGCATTGTTGTTGTTAGTACCAGTCAGTCAGTGGCCTACAGCAGTCAGTTGTGATCTTAACCTAGATTGATTTATTGCTGTATGTTATTTATTTTATATGTTTTTTTAAATTTTTTTTTATTAATTTATTTATTTTGTATAAATACTTGTCCTCTTTTCTAAGAATCAACCAAAGGCCTGGATGACTCCTGCTTTGTTTTGTAAATGGCACAATTCCATTTTCATTCATAAGTGGAAAAAAAA